CTGCACCACACTGGTTTGGGATGCTAAAGACCGAGCAAACCTACATGTTATGGATTGTGCAGCCTTAACCTGAACTCCCAGTCTTACTAGAGAGAGAGAGCATCTGAATATGGACATGACACATATTGTTTAGTTTGTTTATAGCTCACTTGCCCACAAAATGTTCAAAGCAGATTATAAACACTTCGTGCTAGTTTTATAGATAGCCATAAAATTCCCACAAAGCTCTCACTGAAAGCTAGATGTGCTTAAATTCCATTGCAATTAAATAGTTGGAAAAGGCAGACTATGAATGAAAACAATGAATGAATGAATGAATATCACATTTTCATCCTGACCTTGCTCCAAGCAACTCATAGCAATATTCATGGTTCTCCTGTGTTCCAGTTGGCCCTTACCACCGTACGAGGTGGGTTAGGCTGGGTTACTGGAACAAAGTCATTCGGTGACCTGCTTAAATGAACAGGGAACTGTGACTAACTTGTCCAGTTGAGTTGAATGGGACCTAAGCACTAATGTTCTCTGGATGAAGGTGTATAAAATGAGTTTTGCTGATTGACCAATGGCATTTGGGATTAAAAATACAACTATGTGAGGAAGCTAATTAAAAATTGAATTTATGGATTACAACCATTGCTTCTAGATTGTGACTGATAAATACAGCTGTCCTTTTTCAGGACAGAATGTGTGTGTGGGGGGAGGGGGGGACAGAGAGATAAAGGGGAGAGAAGAAACCAGAGAGACAGACTATGGTTTAGGAGCAGACTTGTAAGAGCTGGTGGTGAGCACTGGTGGGAACTGGCAGCAAAAAGAAAAGAGCAAAGCTAATTCTGATAGTGTGACATCTCCCCTGCCCATGACTGTGTTCTAGGGTTGCCAGCTCTGGATTGGAAAATACCTGGAGGCTTTGGGGGTAGATCCTGGAGAGGGCTAGGTTTGGGGAAGGGAAGGATCTCAGCATGGTACAATGCCATAGAGTCCACCCTTCAAAGTAGCCATTTTCTCCAGGGAAACTGATCTCTGTCAGCTGGAGATCAGTTGTAAAAGCAGGATATCTCCGGGCCCCACCTGGAGGCTGGCAACCATACTGTGTTCAGAACCCATGTAGCTGCCTCATATGGAGTCAGACTGTTGACTTATCAAAGTCACTGTTGTCTGCTGTGACCAGTAGCTGTTCTCTGGGATATCAGGAAGAGGTCTATCACATCACCTACTACCTAATCCTTTTAGACAGATATGCCAAGGATGGATCTTGCGGGCTTTCGCTCTGCCACTAAGCCATGGCCCTTCCCAACAGAAGGGCTTAAGATATTTTGAAACTAGGGAAGTCTGCTGCTGTACTGGTTAATAAATGATGATTACATTTTACATCCATTCATTATTTACCGCCCCCTTGGTGGCTGCAGGCTTCCCAGCTCTATCTATCCCATTAAATTCCCTGTTGTACTAACCAGGTATCAGTGTGATTGCTAGAACCAAGCAGGGGTACTCAGAAGGTTACTCATGAGAGATCAGTCACTCTCCAAGCAATTAAGAGTGGTGCTTCACCCCTCCTCCAGTGCTGATGTCATCACCTCCTCATTCTTCCCTTTAAAGGTACTACAGCAGGAGGACATGTACACACACACACCCCTTTGGTTAGGATGGGAAAATGACAGCACCAGCATCCTTTCCCATCTGCCTCACCTCCTCCTTCATGTCTGCACAAACTACCCTTACTCTGAATGAGAAAGGGGCATACTGTGGACTCCTTCCCCCTGCATCAAAGCTGCTATCTGCCTCTTCCAGGGAACATATAGAGGTAGCTGTGTAATTTCCTCCTGCAGGGCAAAGTTACAATTTGAGGAAGGGGTGCTGGTTGTGGTTTGCTTTGGGAAAACAGAGGAGGAAAGGTTTCTCCACACAAGCAATGCAGACCTACTTTGAATACTGTGATTTTTGTACCATTTTGTGACTGGCTCCACCCACTGACCAATCATATGTGACTGACTCTACTGACCGAGCTGGCATTTGTAACTGGTAGCTCCCAAGGCCCTTGAAACTTAATTTACTTCCCAGAAACTTACTGTTTGCCTTTCCCTGCTATAGAGTTTGCTAACACTGCTGATTTTTTTCAGCGTTTACTTGTAATACTGGTTGCACAGGCCTACTTCTGATCTATATTCTCATTATACATCGACCCTAAGGAAGTAGCTTATGAGGTAGGTGGCTGTGGTGGAAATATAGCAGGTAGGAAAGGGTTAGGTGCATACACATCCTGGCTTCCTGCTACTTGTACACTGCAAACCTCCAGCAGATGTGTTACCTGTGTCTAATGAAGCAACTTGTCACTCCAACCTGTTTCAATTTCAATTCAATTCAATTTATTATTACGGGTCTATATGACCGAAGTCCTGACCAAAAGAGAATGCAGAAGGGGTAAAATAGGTACATAAAATTGACATAAAATATGACAAGTACATAGTCACAATCAGTAAACATATAAAACACAGGCATAGCCCAAAGAATAAAAAAGACCTAACTACACTTAGGGCGGAGCCAACGAACTAAAATCCTCCGAAGATTAAAAATCGGTGTAGGTGTTTGCAGGGGAGACACCTTGATCACGAAGGAGGTTTTCCCAGGGCGAGGCTCATCCATTGCACTCCGGGTGTGCTGACCCCTGAGATTTCCCCAAATGCGGGAAACTCGACTGCATAATTAGTGGTAGTGGGGGACTGCGTGTGCGCTTTCCCCAACCTGTTTCATAAACTTCCTGCCTCTCCCCCTCCCTCTCCCCCCTCCCAGTTGGGTCTGCCAGCTTTTCTTTTCAATCTGACTCAATTCCCTTCTTTAATTACACCCCCCATCCCACATGGGTTTTGTCTATGCAGGTCCCATGATCCCCAACGTAGCCTTTTTGCTTGATAGGCTAAGGGGACTTCCTCCTCCCTTTTTCAGCAGTGACAGAGTTGGTTGGATCCAGCCCCCTGCTGCAGCCTCCTTTGAACCATATGGCTGCCTCCAGGCCAGGAGCCCTGGCAAGCAAAGTCCCGTAAAGCAAACTGGTCAGTCTGTTTCACCTGATAACAAAATTCCATAGGCCAGTGTGAAACTTCGCAAGGGAGTAGCAGAGAGTGCTTACAGTGAAGGTGACCAGGTTGTTGGTCGGTTGCAATGACCCCCTCTCATACTATGGGTTGAATCCTTCCAACTTTTCTGCTGGCAAAAGAAGAACGAGGCTCCTTTGGTCCACCAGAAAGAAGGTGCTGAGTTTGTGAACAAAAGCCACGCAATATGGGAACTCAAGGAAGGAGGCAAATCAAAATGAGAAAAGCTGGTGGGATGCAACTCGACTTGATATGTCGCTCTCATGCTATGGTTTGAAGAGTCCAGTTCACCATGCCTCAGCCATTTGGCAGGAATAGTAGAGGAAAGTGCCATCAAGTCACAACTGACTTATGGCAACTCATGATGTTTTCAAGGTAAGAGATGTTCTAAGGTGGTTTGCCATTGCCTGCCTCTGTGTAGTGACCCTCATCTTCCTTAGTGGTCTCCCATCTAAACACTAACCTGGGTCAACCCTGCTTAGCTTCCGAGATCTGACGGGATTGGGCTAGCCTGGGCCATCCAGGTCAGGGCTTGGTAATGAATGGTGCACTTCAGATTGGAAGCCACAGCTCATTTGAGCTTCTGTACATCCAGTAGCTTTTCTTTGTAGCTTGACAGCAGCATCAGACATGCAAAATGTTCCAGAACAAACTGCAAAACTATATGTTTAACAACAACAAAACCCACACCACAACTGGGAATACATTTGGCCACTGCAATGTTTTGTTGTAAAAGCTCTGTATAATTTGGGCTGAAAGCAGAACACAACACCACTGATTTCTGTTTGGGCCTTTCAAAAAGGTAATCATGTTTGTAAGTTGTAATCATATCAGTGGGAGACATGCAAATATACAGGCTCCAATCCATTCGGGTTTATTGCCCAGTAAATGGGCATCCCACTGGCAGTTTTGCCACAAAATCCCACTTAAGCTTATGGAATTGAACTGACCTAACTAGGTAAAGCATTGCAGCATTATTATGCACTAAATTGCAATGCCATTTTTTGGTAGTGTTCATTCAGTGCTGGATTATATTCATATGAGGCATTTAAACTTCCCTAACTTTTTAAGCAGCTGGCTTTTAAAATGTGTGGTTTGGATGTACAGGGTTATCCGCAATCTGATTATACATAGATCCATGCACTCACAAAAACAAAGAGAAGCTTTCTCGTCATGGCTAAATGTTGATAAACACTTATCAAAACACAGAATGCAAAATCATTATTGGGACTCTTTAGAAATGCTAAATAGTTATCTGTTCTTTAAATCAAGTATTTGTGTTCTGATGTCCTGACACTGAAGTGTGTGGTAAATTCTGCAATTTGAAGCACCTGAGCGATTAACATTTAAATAACCTTTTCAAAGCATTAATAAATGAAAATGATGCCCAGTAATAGTTTTCTTAAAGTATGATATCATTCTGTCATGTTCTGGCTGGAAATCATTAAATAGGTTTTAAGGTAAGTTTTTGCCCCCTCTCCAAATTGAAAAGTGCATTTTATTCTGTTATGAAATGAACCTTTGTTTATGTCATGGTTTCCCTGTGGTATTTTAATGACTAAAGGAAAATACCTTGCATTGTTTATTGGTGAAGAAATTAGCATAATGCTTTACATGAATCCAGGGAAAGCATCTTTAAGAGGTGAAAGTTAGTTCTTCTTGCTTGCACTTCATTGCAGAACACTTCTTCCAAACAGCACACAACTGTCTTTAGAAAGTTATGAGAACATCAAATAAATCCTTGCTTTATAGCAGCTAACGCTGTTCTGTTTGGAAGCTGATCTATCCATTATCGTCACCCACTTTACTTCGAATCTTCATGAAAAGAAATCACCACATAATAAAAGTTTTCTTACTTGTTTTGTCTACAGTGCGGAAGCGACAAATCAGAACGAAAAGTGTTCTGCTAACCTTCAGAGCTGTTGTTCTGAGCACTTCCCGATGACATCTTGTCAAAAAACGTTTTGCCACCTTTTGCTTCTGGGTCTTTCACGGGAATGATGGAATGGCTCCCGGGCTGATGCTTAAATGCTGGCGATCGCAAACTTCTCTCCATGTCTACTTCCTGTTAGAGGACATTAAGGGGATGTGTATTAAAAGCTATCAGTAGGAAACAGATGTGGCTGTCCGGGGGAGGAGGATGTGAGGAGGTGAGGGAGGGAGCAGCGGGGTTCCATTACACGATTGATGTTTTCCAATATGCTTCAGGGTAGCTCTCTATAACATCATACTAGAGGGCTGCAAATGTACATTTACTATCAGTTTACGTTTTCGACACCCAGAAGCTGGGTAATCGCTGCTGTTTTCAATTGGCATTTACTTTATGAGCATTTCACCTTTCTCGGAAAGAAAGACTGCTAGTAAGAGTCACAATAAAAAGGGTCCCGAGAAAACAGATGCTTTTTTTTTTTTGCCAAAGCCCTGGGAGAATGTTTCAACCACTTGGACATAATATGCATAAAATAATCTAAGGGCGAATTGGGAAGCTGGACATATTTCAGTTGACTTTTAATCTACAGTCAAAGGCTGTAGTGTTCAAATAGATTTTTTACTAACCACCCGCCCCCCAAACCCATCTTCCTTCCATGCATTTCACACAGTAATCCTCACATGCATGCAGAATACCAGTAGTTAAGTACAAACAAAACAAAAACATGGTTATCAGTAACTGGTATGATTTCCAACTCTGAATGGGGAAATTCTTGGAGATTTCAGGGTGGAGTCTGAGGGGGGTGGAGTCTGGGGAGGGAGTTTAGCAGGGATGTGATGCTGTAGCATCCACCCTCCAAGGCAGCCATTTTCTCCAGGAGGACTGATCTCCGTAGCCTGGAGATCTGTCGTAATTCTAGGAGACCTCCAGCCACCGCTGGGTCGTTGGCAGCCCTACTAAATCTGGAGGGCTGTTTGTTATCCTCTGTCATGAAAAGCCTTGAACACATACTTTGTATTAAATAAGTAAGCAAAACCAGTTCCAGTCACACAGGCTGCTGAGATATTGGATGGGAACAAGATGGGAAAAGTCCCTATATTATATTCACCCATAGTGTTATGTTTGTTATGTTATGTTATGTTATGTTATGTTATGTTATGTTCGCCCATAGTGTTATGTTGTTATGTTATGTTATGTTATATTCACCCATAGTGTTGTGTTGTGTTATGTTGTGTTGTGTTATGTTATATTCACCCGTAGTGTTGTGATGTGTTATGTTATATTCACCCATAGTGTTGTGTTGTGTTGTGTTGTATTCACCCATAGTGTTGTGTTGTGTTGTGTTTTGTTATATTCACCCACTGTGTTGTGTTGTGGTGTGTGTGGTGTGTTGTGGTGTGTGTGGTGTGTGTGGTGTGTGGTGTGATGTTTTGTTTTGTTACGTTAAGTTACGTTTTGTTACGTTTTGTTACGTTACGTTACGTTATATTCACCCATAGTATAACAAACAGGTATCTTTGAAGTAACCACAGAGGAGCTGTACTACTCACTGCTGAAGTCTTCTACATGCTGAAATTAAAGCAGTTTAGACATAAAATGTAACAGAGAGCACAACTTTTGAAGCCCATTGACTGCAGTCAACTTTACATTTGTTGTTTTGCAAGGTGGAGCTGTTAACCAAAGCTACACGTGTTCTCTACATTTTGATTGCATATGAATAATCATACTTAAGCCCATTGACTGCAGTCAACTTTACATTTGTTGTTTTGCAAGGTGGAGCTGTTAACCAAAGCTACACGTGTTCTCTACATTTTGATTGCATATGAATAATCATACTTAAAAAAAACCCCACTCCTACTGGCTTTTTTGTGGTAATTTTTGTTTTACCTCACGCTCGTTATGAATATCCAGTAAACACTGAATAACGAGTGAACCCTGTACCTGTCTATGGAGTAGCTCCTGAAAGCAAGACTCTTTGAGTAGCACTGGCAATCAATAAGACAAAAATATGCAGCAGAGGAAGATAGAAGGAATGGTCATGGGGAAAGTAAAGAACAGGGTGGCAGGAGAAGGAAAGGAAGCAAGAACAGTGTGAGCCACCAACAATGTGATCATTGTATTAATATGAACTGTACCATGGGATTTAATCAGGCTTCAGTCTCTTATGCTGCTGAAGACTCTGCATGTTGTTTAATAGTATGTCATGTCAATCCTGAATGCAAGAAGCTGTCTTCTATTGAATCAGATCATTGCTCCATCCAAGTCAGTATTTTCTACTCTGGCAGAACCTCTCCACGGACTCAGGCAGAGGTCTTTCCCATCACCTAGTAGCTGATCATTTTAACTGGAGATGCTAGGAATTGAACTTGGAGATCTTCTGCATGAAAAGCAAGTGCTCTACCACTGAGCCATGCCCCCCTCCCTTGAGTTTCAGGGTTTGCAAATGGTGATTGTCCCCCATTCACTTCAAGGCAGGGTGCAACTCCTGAGTGTCCCATGTTTAAGGAGATGGTGGGGGAAGCTCAAGTCTGTATACATACTGGAGTATCTCTCCATATTTCTTTCTCTCTTTGCTCCCAGCAGCCATGTGTAGGAGCTGCTGCAGTATAGTGTGGTTCGAAAGCACACCAGAACATACAGATAAGACTGATTTACATGGATCATCCGAGCAACTGGCAGACATCAAAGCAGGAGGGAGGGTGTTAGTTGAGAGGGGCACAGCCACCTAATTGTCCCAGCCCTTGTGGTTGTTTAATGTACACATGATCTAGATTCCCCATATAATTTGCTTCTCCTTGCCTTTTTTAAAAACTTGCCTCTGCACTTATCTGTACTGAAGGACAAAAGCAGTTTCAACAGCCACCTAATTGTCCCAGCCCTTGTGGTTGTTTAATGTACGCATGATCTAGATTCCCCATATAATTTGCTTCTCCTTGCCTTTTTAAAAAACTTGCCTCTGCACTTATCTGTACTGAAGGACAAAAGCAGTTTCTATAATATTTTTGCAGGACTTGATGAGTATAACCAAATAAACATTTTATACATCTCTTTCTTCGAAACTGTTACAGTCTGTTTATCATCCTGATGTGTATTTGCCCACATGCA